GGCCCGAACGGCCGAACGCATCCCCAAGGGGTCCCATACGTTCGGGCGTTTGGGTTCGGGCGTTCGGCCCGTCCCGAACGCCGGTTACCCTGTATATATATATAATATAACGTTATATGTAATATAATGTTATATATAATATAATGTTCTATATAATATATCATATATATAATATATATAATATATATAATATATATATATATATATATATCATATATTGTGTTTAACTTGAAATGGATAGGAGGAGGAGGAGGAGGAGGAGGAGGACGATCTTCCTCCTCCTCCTCCTCCTCCTCCTCCTCCTCCTCCCATAGCCGACGGGCGATGCGAGGGGCGATGGATGATAGCGAGGGGTGATGGCGAGGGGCGATGGTGAGGGGCAATGGCGAGGGGCAATGGCGAGGGGCGATGGGCGATGGCGACTATTCCTCGGGCGATGGCGACGGCGACGGCGACGGGCGACGGGCGATGGTGATTATTTCTTATTTATAAGTTCACCGAGAATGAGTTGGAGACGGGCGATGGAGACGACGACGGACGACGTGCGATGGTGATGGCGACGGGCGACCGACAAAGGGCGACGGGCGACGGGTGATGGCGATGGGCGATGGGCGATGGGCGACGGGCGATGGGCGACGGGAGATGGGCGATGGGCGACGGGCGATGGGCGATGGGCGACGGGCAATGGGCGACGGGCGACGGGCGACGGGCAACGGGCGACGGAGGACAGGCGATGGGCGATGGCCGACAGGCGACGGGCGACGGGCGGGCGACGGGAGATGGGCGACGGGTGACGGCGACGGGTGATGGTGATGGCGATTGGCGATTGGCGACCAGTGACGGGCAATGGGTGACGGGCGATGGGCAATGGGCAATGGGCGATGGGCGACGGACGATGGGCGATGGGCGACGAGCGATGGGTGACGGGCGACGGGCGACGGGCAATGGTGATAGCGATGGCGACAGGCGACGGGCGATGGCGACTACTCATCTGGCGATGGTGATGGTGACGGGCGATGGCGACGGGCGATGGCGATGGCGATAGGCGATGACGATGGGCGATGGACGATGAGGACAGGCGATGGCGACGGGCGATGGCGACTTCTCGTTGGGCAATGACTCCTCCTCTTCGGGCGATGGCAACTCCTCCTCCTCCTTGGGGGATGACGGTGCACCCCCCGACCGGACCCCTTCCCCACGTTACCCCCGTCTCCGAAGTGCCCCCACTTGGTACCACAGCCAAAAACGGGCACAAAAATGGTCCGGGACGACTACGTACCCGGGCCCCATTTTTTAGTACGTGTGCACACGTCCGCGGTACGCATGAGCATACATGTATACGCGTATGCATGTCTGCAGAGTCCGCGTCTGTGTACGCCGTGGAACTCAGCTTTCAGCAGGTTCGCTCAGACCATCTCGAGCAGTTCCGCTTTGGCATGGTGGAAGTCGAATGCTTCGTCTCTACGTTCTGCTGAGCACCTCATTTCCATATGACCATAAGGAGGGTGAACCTCATGTATTTCAAGAGGTTAGCTTGGAAGGGAAACCAGGTGGGTGGAAAGTTTTTCTTTCTTTAAGCTCCCATTGGCAGCAAGATAAGAGCAATTGTTCCATTCCATTGGAATGACGATGCAGTGAGCTTGTGCCACATCGCATCCCATCATTGCCACACTTCTACTGCCTTCGGGTACGCCAATAGGCAGTGTTCCAAGTTTGCACGTCTGCGTTGTGCCCCCTTCCCACAATGAGAGCAAATAGGGGAGAGAAGTCCTTATTCCAGTTTAGTGAGTGTTGTTACCAATTGGGGGTTGGGAGGCAGGGATGTGTAATCTGCCATTGCAGAGTCCTGTGGGAAGTCGACATTATATGTGCATAGGTGGTCAAAGGAATAGTGACCATTGTGAAGGCATGACTACCCTGAAGTTTATGTGCTTGTTTATATCCTATGAGCACCGTGTATTGCCAGATCGGCGTAGGCTCGTGACCTTTCCACTCCCACTCTTCAGGGTTGAATGAGAGTGCACAGACCGGGGTGGCCATCTAATAGGCAAAGTAACCTAAGTCCTCAGTGCCAACTACCCTGATTGTAGACAAGTCACTCTTGGGGAGTATACAGTCTGAGTTGTGGTCCCTTTCCAGTGCGCCCCCTGTACATCCGGTGCATAGGCATGTAACTGCACCCTTTGGTCAGTATTGTGGCCCACCCTGAACATGGTCATAGAGATCGGGTTGGAAATACACTTTATAACCCACTCTTGGCTACGCACTAACGGTCCTTCGTTCAGGGCTGCCACCCTGAGGGCCAAGACTGTGTGGTGGATGAGGTCGAGATTTTTTTGACTTTTTTTTATATATCGCATGTTCGGTTGCAACTGTTGTGCAGACTTCCCCGTGCCTCTCACACTATCTCAGCGATCCCCAACTGTGAAGAGACCGTTCCTCACCCATGTAAGCCACCGTGAGCCGGTTTCCTGAGACAGCGACACTCCTGTTTCATCGCAGATGTCCGAATTTCCAAACAGCGATTGGTGTCATATCTCTTGCCATCTCAAGGGGGGAAACTTTTTGGCCGGCCCCATCTGCCTCCAAAGGTACTAGAGCATTGCTGTCCATATCGTGTCCTGCTTGAGGTCCCATCTCACGCTGTTTCTTGCTTTTCCATCCCTTTTGTGGCGTAGGGGGCTAGGCATGGACCAGGTCGTGTTTGTGAACCATGTAAGGGGATGAACCTGAGTATCATGGTGAGAGGGAGGGGCGAGGTCGGCCAACTGTATGTATGCCAACGACAACCATGGGATATCGTTTGCAAGCGGCAGACGAATAGTGACTTTAAACATAAGGGCTTTGGTCTCGTCCCCTGGATCTAGAATGCCCAACCCAACTACTTTCTTTGGTTGGAACACATATTTTCATGCCACCCTTCTCAAACATCCCGTCAACTTATGATAATTTCTCCACAAGTAGACCGTCAGCGCTGCTCGCAGATGTGCGAGCTGTTTTTCAGGGATTTCCCAAAAAGCTATTTTATACCAGATTGTGGCGAGGATGGCGTTGTTTATTGCCAGCGCCCTACCTACCAGCGATGTGTGGAGGTCGTCCCATCTTGCAATTCTTTGGAGCACTGTTTGGACTTGAGTCTGTCCATAGTCTGTGGGGGGACCCATGACCGTCAGGCAAATCCCGAGGATTCATATGTTTTTTTTCTCACAGGCACCAAATGACCATTGACTGCTGTGGTGTCTGGGTGTCTTGTGGGGAGAGCCACCAGCCCTCTGTCTTCGTTCCCCAGTTCACTTTCATGTCTGCCACAACCGCAAAGGCTTAAATGATTTATGTTAAGGCTCGAAGAGAAGCGACCGAGGCTCGAAAGAGGACCGTGAGATCATCAACGAACAGGGACGTAACCGGATCCATATGAGAAGGTAACTTCGGGATGTCTATGCACTTTATATTTGGGTTGACTCTGATCATCGCTGCCAAATTGCCAATGCATCCATAACCAGCACAAAGAGGAGGGGGGCGGCGGGGTCCCCTTGCCTTACCGAACGCTGCAAAGCGAAGGGAGGGTACAGGTGTCCATTAACCATAACGCTTGTGGCTGCAGACCTATGAATGATGGACACCCATGATTTGAATCCGTCTCCAAAGCTCATCTTATCTAAACAGCAGTCGAGGAAGTCCCAGTCCACATGGTCATAGGCCTTCTCGAAGTCTATGAAGAGGACTCTGCGGCTTCCTTGTGGTGCTGCCTGGCGTACTTGATAGTCTCGTTCACTAGCAGGACATTGTCCTGGATGTTCCTTTGCGGCATAAACCTAGTCTAGACTTGGAAAAACAGGTGATTCATCTGCGGGAGCAGTCGGTTAGTAAGAGCTTTGAAAACCATTTTGTATGGGATGGGGAGGAGCATGATCGGGCGGTAATTTCTGACGTCTGCTTTGTCCCCTTTCTTGTAGAGGAGCATGGTGACCCCCTGACTGATCACTCCTCCAAATGTTCCTCCCCTCTACACTGCATGTACGTAGGCTGTGATGCTATTCTGGAAAATATCCTATTATTGAAGCTAAAATTCTTTTGGAAATGAGTCAAGATCGGGTGTGTTTTCATCGTTCATTCCCCTTAAGGCTTCTATAAGAAAGGGGAAAGAACAAATATACGCAACTACAGACCTATCACTCTCCTCACCGTTGTCTACAAACTTATGGCCAAAGCACTCGCCAATAGATTAACACCAGTAATGACGGACATCATACATCCTGACCAAACGGGGTTCATTCAGGATAAACATCCAGGATAACATCCTTCTAGTCAACGAGATGATCATACTAACAAGGCAGTCCAAGGGCAATGCAGCGATCATCTTCATAGACTTTGAAAAAACCTATGACCACGTGGATTGACACTTCTTAGATAAGTGCCTGGAAAAATTCAACTTTGGACCAGGTTTCAGACATTGGGTAAAAATTTTGCATACCAACGCGACCACCAGGGTAATGGTAAATGGTAACCTGACCCCACCCATAAACCTTCAGAGGTCTGTCAGGCAAGGAGACCTGATAGCCCCCTACCTCTTTGTCATAATGGAAGAACTAGTCGTTAACCTGAGAACAGACAAGGAGATTAAAAGAATTTAGGTAACAACAATCCCCCAGGTGGCAATCCCGGTTTCCTAACTCTGATGGTAGATGCATCAAGAGATCAATGGAAGAGGTATAAAACATGATGGACCGCTTCTGCAAATGCTCAGACATGAAAGTTAATTGGGGAAATAAAACCCAAGGATGGTGGATACACCATCAAGGGGTGAGGCCACCAGAAATCCCCAGGTTAAACTGGCTCCCCAAGGAGGCGCCCATCAGGGTGCTGGGTATCTCAATAACAGCAAATGGCAGGCCACCTACTAACATAGAATGGATCACTGGCCCACCTTTGGCAAAGATGACCCTCTGGAAAGATAAGCATACCTCCTTATTTGGCTGATCTCTGATTATCAACAACGTGGTACTGGTCACACTATGGTATAAATCGGCCATCTGGACATTAGATAAGAAGGACCTGCGGTCCCTGCAACGCCAGATCACCGCCTTCCTGTGGCGGGGGGATCACGAGAAACAAAATGTGATTAGCCGAGTGGCGTGGCAATCCATTACCCAGCCCAAAACGAAAGGAGGCTTGGGCATCATCGACCCCCTGATACAGACTAAAGCACTAGCAATACAATGGCTTAAACGCCTGTTGTTCGACCCCGAGTCCCCGTGGAAAGGGCTGGCCTTGGAACAAATTTCCCGCATAGCCCCCCAGACATCAGAAGTCAGTGATCCACTGATGTGGTTGGAAAATAGGGGATGGCCCATCCCGAGGACAGGAGCACAGAAACAAGACCCCGATCCTGACTCACCAAGGCAAGCAGCAAGGTCTGATTTGCGAAATGACCCCTTTTGGCCTCACCTTATCAAAACATGGTGAAACCTCCCACTACCAGATAAGTCCCCTCCAACAAGATGGGAGGAAGTGGCGTGACAACCATTATTTGGCAATAGATGGGTGGTGGACTCAAAGGGCCAGACACTGCACTGTATGGCCTCCCCCTGGCGGGGCTGGGTCAAAAAAGGACTAACAAGAATAAAGGATATATGGGACACAAACAAAAAAGACTGGATTGGCCCAGGCCAGCTAAGGGAGAGACTACGGTACTGCCACTGGCCCCAAGAAGCACTGGAAGGGATAGTGGAAAAAATTCCTTTAGATTGGTGGAGGATCTTACGCAAAGGCCCCACCCTGCAACAGGCAGACTGGGTTGCATTCCGAAAAATACAAGGCACGGTGGGAAATGTAGTCTGCAACCTCCCCGATGGGGCAATGGTGGTGAGCCTTTTTCAAATGGGGAGAAGGAATGTCATCGAAAGGAGCAACCCGGAGAAAACGATGATATGTCAGAATGAGGACGTATTCAGAATAAGAGTCCTTCAAGAGGAGGAACAATGGATAGCCTTCCTCCCCTCTCTACGCCAATCCACCATTTGGCCCTGGACCCGGAGGAATGGAAATGGACGACCCAGATGGGGAAGGGAAGGACTCACACCAAATCACTGTACAGCCTAACAGTCCAATCTACCTATAG